AGAGAGAGAGAGAGAGAGAGAGAGAGAGAGAGAGAGAGAGAGAGAGAGGGAGGGAGGGAGAGAAAGAGAGAGAGGAAGAGCGCCCCTTGCACGCGACTGTACAATACAACAAGATTTGCGGGACGCCCCTGGCAAGCGGCCACGGGCGCAATATCGGTCAGCCTTTGCCGCTGATAGATTTATCGTCAGATTTATAAGTCCCAACCCCCTTGGCGCACGGGGTGTTGTATCACTCTGAAAATGGAGCGCGACTATCTGGCGTTTTGTGCGGCCCGGAGACGCTCACAATGGACACGTTATCGGGCGAAGGAGCCGGCAAATGCCGTCGTCCATTGTCGTCGCGCGTCGGGAGAACGGAACGAATTAAAAATTACGCGAGCGCGGGCAGGTCAACAACGGCAAATATTTATCGCGCTGTACCGCGCGTTCGACGCCAATACCAATTGGATTCCCAATGGGTGGCGTATATTTCAAGGGGAAGGTGATTAAAACGTCGAACGGCCTCTTTTTCTCTCGCGTCCTCGAGCGGATTTCACGCTATTCATAGCGCCCGCGTGCACGTTCTGGCGATCACTTGCGTGTTTATTCGATGGCATTTATTTTATTTATGGGCCATTCTAGTTTCGTATTTTGCGAGAGTGTAGACGGATCCATTGCTCTTCGGGATCGTCCACTGCAAAACCCCGCAGCTGGTCGGAGCCGCTCTCTTTGCGGCGAAAGGTTCCGCGAGCCAGTTCGTGTTTTCATCCTTGGACCAGGTGCGAGCGAGCGCGTGGTTAATTTTTGTGAGTTCCTTCCTTCGCCTCTTCTCGCTCTCGGCCGCTTCGGGATCAGGTTAGTGATGGAGGGCGATCTCGGGGCCGAATAAGTGCAGTGGCAGGGCCTTAAGGCCCGGGGCACGCAACCGGTTCGCCGCCTCGGCATCATTACGACGTAACTTAAACGACCCTGAGGTGCTTTCCAGCTCCACGATAATCAGTGAGCTGTATTATCGTCGCGGGATAACCTAGCATTCCACCGGTGGCCTCGAAGGTGTAAAGTAGTGCGTTCAAATGCGAACACCAGCAATCCAATAAAACACCGTATATTGTGACACTTTCTGTCACGTCTGCTGGAACTTGAATTGCCCGAGATATCCCGAGTTGAAATTTTACTTCTATTTTCGTCCTGAACTTTCTAACATCTGAAGGATCAGTGCATGTTTAATACATGGAAACCCATGGGACACATGGAAATACAAATAATATAAAATGATATAAAACGCACGAAATATCACTTGCAGGTTTTAAAGAAAGCCTCAAGCAGCATCAAAATTTCGCGATTCGGAATCAGGAATGATCCCGAGACGACTCAGTTATTTAGATTCTAATTGCATTCCCCGTGCTCACTCGATTTGCTGTGCCTACATTGTTGAAGTTCTCTAAATAGTTTTCATTGATCAACGATAGTTCTACTGAGAGTGGACATGTAAATTCTACATTCACAACAAGTTAATTCTATATTTGGTTTCGAGTGCGTGCGCACAGAGGAAGCGTGCATCGCGCCGGTTTATCTGTCGGCTCGCACGAAAGTTTATCTTGGGACTGGTTCGATATTTATTTAAACGTGGTACACACCTACCGGGGCTTCTGTCACATCTGTCCGACCTGTTTCACACGAAACTGAGCCGCGTGAGCGGGCTGTTGACCATTGGCTGAAGCCAACTATGCTGCGACAATGTCCTCCTTCTGTGCTTTTCAAGCATTCATCGTGACTATCGATCGCAACGTATCATTATTTTCATTTTTCACTTCCGCATTATTTACGACTTGGTGTATATCGACGGGCGAATTAAATTGCCGTCGCATGATTTGATTCACGCGCCGCGGTTTTATGAATCAAAATTTATCTAAGGGCTAATGTGAGCGTTTCTTAGCGTGATACTTTCAACATGGTGTAAGCGCGAAGACGCCTTTATTAGAATGAGGAAGAAGGCGATGCATGACTCGCATGAATTCCGCGTTATCGTAAGAGGAATATTTATTAAAAGTTCATACGTTTTGCCGCAGCTTCATGCTCTCCCGAGCGTTCTGCTCCTGTTCTTGGTCGTGCCAATAGACTTGTTGTATCTTATGCATAACCAGTCGCGCAAGTTTTTCCCGAGTACCGTAAGCGCGCGATGCGCTCGGTTCAGTAACATTCGATACTTTGTACGCAGGTGCGTCCCGGGGAAAAAAGTGCGACTTTATCCTGCGACTTGGCCGCCTCATTTGGCAATACAAAAGGGAAAGCTCTGCCAAGATCAAAGGTTTCATCGATAATATAAAATCTTTGTATTTGACTTTTCGTTCGCCGCGCGCTTTTCGAACTAAAGCACGTGGAGCAAAGGATAATTTCATGTGCAGCAATTTTTGCGGCGGTCTTCTAGCATTATTCGCATCACGCGAGCCCACGATCTGATGTGTTAACGATCGCATGTCGTGATCAGCGACCGCGCGCCGAGCACAAAAGCAGACCCCCGAGAAATTCGGCTGCGGATTACGTCGGGCGAATTTTTTTTTCTCCTGTTCTCTGTTAAAAAAAGAAACGCTCTAACAGAAGCGCACCTGTGAGCCGCCGAGCAAATTACAGTAATCGGTAACTTTGCAGCCTAAAAGCTGGATGCACGGAAGCACGAAGAAAGGGAGCCGGGCAATCTTTTTGTTCGCGAGAGTTTGAATTGTACCGCGAATGGACCAGACTCACTGTTTAATTGGTTATAGGGAAATTAGGCACAGTTTCGAAATCTTGGTGATACAATCGTTCATCGCGATATCAATCGTCGCAATTTTGTTCGATAGATCACGCGAGATCTCGTTCGATCTCTCGCGGCGGTTTAATCGCAAATCCGCTGAATCCGCGGTTCGATAGACACGCCGCATTTCACAGTTTATTGATCACTCCGCGCGCTATTGACGTAGAAAATTTCGATAACACGCTCGTAGCACTAGAAAATCCTCGTCTCGGCGGCGGTG